TATATATATATTATTAAAGTAAATTTGACTCGTCTATGTGAAAACAAATTAAGTTCGGCCCCTGAGGTCAAAAGGCTTGTGTTCCACACCTGTATGTATTCGAGACTAACAATAAGTGAGCTTAGTCAATCTCGAGTCCGAGCCAATAAGCAAACTAATTGATCCAACTTGGGTTCTTTCATTAAACAAGGTCAAATCAATAAGCAAGCTAATCGATCTCAAGTTTGAGCTTGTATGCTTCTAACATTGAAAAATATACTAAACCAGGAAATATTTTCTTTACGCAAATTATAAAAAAATATATATATTAATTTTATTTGAATTATTTAAATAAATAAAAAATCGAGGTCTTGAGAGACCATTTACCGGTTCTTTTAAGGGGATCGATTACATTAGGATCAATCAACAAGGACCGAGCCCAATTACGCCCGGTAATTGGCTCGATGGTATCCGGTTTATCAATCTCACATGTGGTTAAAGGTTTGGTTTAAACATTTCTAACGATGAAAAGGGTACAAATATTTACTCTATATAAATATTAAAGTGAAATACATTTTTCTTCCTTGCGGTTTGGTGTTTTAACAGTTCTCATCCCTGTTTCCATAATATAACAAAATGTGTCCTTATGGTTGCATTTGTTAACAAGTTGGGTCCCTGTGTTCATCTTTTTTTTAACAAATTAGGTATTATGGTTGCAGTTCTTTAACAATCGATTTTGTTGTCACAAGAGGAACCCAAACTTGTTCTAAAATGCAACCACAAAGACTCAGGGACCGTTTACTAAACACTAACTTGGTAAGTGCTTACCGGATAAATTTCCTTATCGGATGAACATGAGAAAGGTCAAGAATTTTACCAGTTAAGAGCAATGAAAATGATTGAGAATGTTACCCGGTAAGTAAGGATGGCGACTCTTACCCAGTAACTGGTTGCATTCGATATGTTTTATTTCAAAGTTGAAACCATAAAAAGGCAAATTTGATTTTGGTTGTTTGACAGCCTCTAAAACAAACCTGTTCTATAAACATTCAACATACCTATGTAGTTTTCTGGGCAAAAAAGTTTGATGCAAAGTGTTCTCCTGATAAAACTGAAATGTTACAAGTCATAGACGATTAATAGCAACCAAACTTAAAAAATATGCCAATGAAGATGATGTCTTACGAGTAACAAGTTTGAAACAGAAGATTCGAACAAACACAAACAAATATCTATTGTATTAATCAGCATCCATTTCTTCCAATGCAGCTTTAGCTGCTGCCTTTGCCTCCTCCAAAAGTGCTTCTGGTACCTACACACAAATAATTAGCATAATATAGAATAAATACAAATTTTAATTATAAAAAGAACAATTTAATAAAAAATTGAAAATCAAGTGTTCTTTTTTTTTTTTTTTGCTTTTTTGCTCTACTTTCTTCTGCAGTTACCAACAAATTAGAAGAAAGGAATACTTGGGTTCAGGTAGAGACGCTCTCCCAAAAAGTCAAAGGTTCGAACCTCACCAAAGGCGAAGAGTGTAAATATTACACTTTTTTCAACCATTAGGGTGCACAAATCAAATTTTAGTGGGTGCACCTTTTTTTATTAACCTGGATATCCGACCCGCTATGCGAGCTGACTAATCCCAGGACAACCACCTGCTTTGCAGATAGCCCGGAGTCACCGCATTTGAACCTCCGTGGCCACGAGGGGATTTTTATTCCTCCTTGGATTTGAACTTGGGACCTCCTGGTACTTTTGACCTTTGGAGCCAAGCTCAAACCAATCAGGCACCACCCTTGTGGGTGCACCTTTAAGAGACTTGAAAAAATCCACTACGTCTGCACGATAGAACAGTAGCACAGACACCTACTCCCTCCTTAAATGCGCCCGTGTAACTTGGCCCAATTTCAAATGAAACAGGTTTCGTTTGGTTTGGTTATTGTTTGGTCATCTAATAATCGCTCTACTCAGCAGCTGTATACTTGCTACAAACTCAAAGCAATAGTTGAGCATTAATATGATAGGACCCAAAACAAATTATACTATGAACTTACCAAACTTGGAATACCATCCCTAGCCTTTACTTATAATTGATCATAATACTCCTCATCTCATTTTACTTGCAAATGCAACTGCCATGTTCTTGTGACCTCTCTGAATTTTGAATAAACGGACCACGGGAACCAGTACGTACTAGAGATGATACTAAAAGGGAATACAGAATTGAAGGGTTACATTCATGTACTTATTTATGTGGGCAAGTTATTTATTAAGAAATGGCATTTATCATTTGAAAACCATCTGAAAGAGCTCTATAGAAGGAAGGAGAGTAAAAGCAAAAGGATGAGAAGTACAAAATACCATCTAGCCATCCACATTATGCGTCAAGCTAACTTATAAACCATAGGCAGGCAAAACTGTAGATTTAGTTTTATAACTTTAAAGGACAAAGGACTTCAAGGCTTCCCAGATAGCCACTATGAAGGGTATCCCTATGGTTGAAAAAATATCCACTTTCGATGTTCCATGTTCAAATGCAATTACCAGGTCAAAGGATATAACATGAATGGTTTGACTTTGTGTAAAAATGTTTTATGTTAGCTTAATAATCTTTTCTAATTAAAACCAAAACGATTCTAATTATTTTTTAAGTAACTTGCTGACTAAAAAAAGTCAAAATGTGGTTTCACTCTTCTTATGGGAACGATTTTGGCGCATCAATGATCCTTGGCTTTGACTCCTTTCACCAGCCTAAGTAGATCATCATTCTCTGAAAATTTTAGTCTATAGTTGGGTAATAAAAAGTGACGTCTAAAATGATTCTTGCATATACTGCCCTTGCATCATTAGACAATATTCACAACTAGGATCAATGTAACCCCAAGTGGATGATCGCTATACATGTTATTTTCTTCCACTAACCAATCTGGACAAGTTGTGGTACATATCATGGTCCACTATCTCAATTCTAGATACTTATAATCAAGATCATCTTCTGTTACTTCCTTATCATGATATTCATCTCTACATTTTTTTAATCAGTAGCAAATTCCGTATATGAACAATGAAAGCAAGATCTAGGAAAAGATTATTTGAACAGAACAAATGTTAATTTTGATATGAAAAAGGACGGTAATAGATATTGTTATTTACCTTCTGGTGCTGGCGGTTTGATTCATCACAAACCCAACTCATCTCCAATTCGAATGTCTTGTCCTTTGCCTCATCATGTACTCCATAGATTCTAATTACCAACATCAAGAAGTTAAAACAAACTGAAAGAAATTTTTGAACTGATAAATGCCGAGAGCAGAAAAATAATTTTTACATCTAGGAGCACACAGAGAGACCACTAACTAAAACAAATCCCATTTGCTGCCAACAAATAATTTCACAAACAGTGCCCCAGAAAATCTAGCCTATAAAAAATACAACATGAAGCATCTTTTAGGACATCAAGCACTTTACCAAGAAGTAAATAACCTCATGATTCTTGTAACAACCAATTGATTATAGAACTGCCTGAGAAAACTTATACTACTGAAGAGCATTCAGCCTTATTTGCAAGATGGTGAAGCAAATTCTCTGTAAGATCTATCAAGCATCAAACTTCAAGTAGTACTAGTTATCTGTTGGAATTATTGAGCTTGCTAATGAGCTGTTAACAGAGTTCTAAGTCATAAATTTTAGAACTTGATAAGCTTCAAATAAACCATGCAGATTGTTTACTTTGTTAACAGCCAGAACCCATCAGCTATAAAATAAACAGTAAATGGTCCGTGAATAAAGATTTTCTTACTTCAATGAATGAATTTGTGTTTATTAACAACCAACTCCATTGGTGAGCTGTAGTAGGCATTTTGTTACATGCTGTACATACCTAAGAATATATAACCATATGCACCTAATCACAGGAGTTTTAAGGTATGAAGCCCACGGTCCACTGATGCATTCAGTGATTTTTCAATTGATCCTGATACATCAATTTTGAAATTCATCTGATATGCCATAACAGCTTAACAAATTATAATTATAGCTTACAACCTAACACATGATTCATGATGTAAAATGTGCAACAAAACAAAGAACAGCATACCACTTATGCATCCTAAACATGTTGTAAGATGCCAAGGCACAAGACATACAGCTCACAAGGGGAGAATGACTAATAATCAGTAACAAAAAAGTCATAAACATGTTGGAATCCATATATTACTTGCATATATGGCTTATGAAGCTAAACTAAGGCCACAATGACCAAGTACTGGCAACTTGCATCTATGTGGCTTATGATATAAACTGAAGCTAATATGTGCTCCACATCACAAGAAGGAGTGCATTCTTAGATGTTGGCCAATACACACTCAAAGCAGAACTTGAAGTGCATGCTTAGATGTTGTTATCTCGAGTCTTCATGAGAAAATGTTGTTAGGGGAGCATGTCTACTCCCGGTTTAACAACAAATCACTACTAGATGCAACTGAAGGCTCAAGTACAACTGAGTCGTTCTATATGTTCCAATCTAACTTCGTTAATTTCCAACTAAATACATAATGAATTTGACAAACATATAGAAGTTGTTTATGAAAATATTGAACTACTTACCAAAATATAAAAATTTCTTGTTAACAACACATAATCGCATATGGCTCTGGACACAAAAAAAATAGACAGCGGACTGGCTGAAATTGTGGTTGACATTCTTATTTAGCAAACTTCTGGGACGTTTTCTTTTTCACAAAATTATTCTCTAAACCTTTTTACAAGCCGGGGGTCTTCACGGAAACAATCTACTCCTCAGGATGGAGGTAAGGTCTGTGTAGATATTCCTACCTCCGTAGACCCCACTTCAAGTGGGATTTATTGGGTTCTTTTGGTTTGGTTTGGTTTAGTTTTATTTACTTTTGGCATGCATGAGCAATGAACGAGCATCATTATAAGGCAACATTTATACTTTATCAAAAAACACAAAAAAAAATCTCTCAAGCAATACACACGGAGCATGGAAATGAGAAAGTGAAGCATGTATGTGACCCTAAGGAATGTGAAAAGGGAGGAGATCCTTGATGACAGAAATTCCTCTTCCAATTTTCCCATGTACATATACACATCCAAGTTTAGGCTAGTGGAATTCATATGATAACACAAAACGAATAGCAGTTGTAAAAGCAAAAAGAGAAATGCACCAAGAGCTTAAAGGAGTACGGCCTGCCACAGGGGCTAGTGGGTAGCATTACTTCAAAATATAGTTCCCATCACAGAACTTCAATAATATAAATTGTTATCTGTATATCTGTACGAGAATGTTTAACATTTCAAAATAAGGAAGGAGACTCACATTTTTGCTACTTCAATAACCCCTTGACGACATGTCATCTCAGAAAGCTTCAACTTTTCAATCTCGCTGCAGTCAAATGATTGCACCCCATATTAGCAAAAAAGTCACATTGTTAAGACACATAAATCAAGATGACCATGCAATAGAAGATAACTATGAACCATACAAGATCATATATGGCCAACCAATTATCATAACACGTACTTTCGTACGCACTTATTATGACCATAATGTAAGAATATAAGTGGGGTCTTATAATAAGAACAAAGATGACGAACATTATTTCCTTAATAAAAACCAACCACAAACTAATGTCATGCCCATCTCAAGTTGGACAAGTCTATTCACAATATGACTCGACTCAAGCTCTTGGTACATTGAGTTAAATCGCACATCCAACTAGGAATTGAAAACGACTCGTCCAAGTTGGATTCGACTCATCTAACATGAACAGCCAACTCTTTCCAGGTGGGCCTGGCAAGTCAAACTCCGCTTGTTGCACCATTATTTTTCTTGTGGCAAATTAAGGTCAAGAAATTTGCTCTTACATGGCTAATATTGAGATTCAAATGTTATGCTGTTTTTCCTTCATCTGTTTGTTGCATATTGATATAAAGGGCATGGTTGGGAAAAGGATTTTCAGCAGAAAGAAAGGAGGGCAAAGATAGAGGAAAAGAAAGACTTCCGCAAAATGAAGTATGGCTAAGGGTTATATAGGAAAAAGCTGTGATCCTAAAATGGTTGTGGTCTTGTAGATGTCGGTGGTTGGCCTGGCTAACTCCTGATCATGGATGGTGAAAAATAAATTTTTACAAGCTACATGGGGTCACCTTATATGTTCCCTAATGGCCAGAGAGCCAAAGACTCCGGATTACTCACTTATTCACTCTTCAACAAGTGAACATTAGAATTTAGTTTGTAAGTATGTAGGTCCCTTCCCACATTGGCTATAATTGTAAAATGTGAGCTCCATGTAAGTCCTTATTAGTTCCCTACTAGCTAGCTTACAAGTTCCAACCACGGTTTTGCAAACTGAAGAGATTTCGAATTTAGCCCTAAAGCATATATTTTTTAATAATTAATTCTACTCTGTGGTCTATGTAAGTTTGTTCAATTTGATACAGGTATACATGCCTTTCTTGGTCGGACCAAGCCAACTGGAGACTTCCAACAAGTCTTTCCTAATTTTTAGAGGAAGAAGCGGAACTACAAGAAAGCTTTCTTTATCTTTATGGATAACCAATTCATTTTCAAATATAGTTGGGAGACTTTACCCAAGAAATGGGTAAAAAGATGGAAAGATCGGAACATGAGAAGTTTGTTCAATTTGGTACAGGCATACATGCCTAGGACCGATTTTTTTCTAAATGGACCTTCAGCTGCGTAGACATATACCAGTTGGAAAGGAACTCTTAACATGAATAAATGTTGGACAAAAATCTTTCCCTTCTTGTAGAACTAGGTAATACATGATGTAACATAAACTAACCAAGTTGTAGGTGATATTTGAAATGCATGGTGAAATGGCATACAGCAATAATAGTTGTCAAAATTTCACCCTCAGATGAAATCTTATATCATACTAAAATGAATGAGTGAAATAGTAAGTATTTTGTCGGTTTGACCATATTACATTGTTTCTCGGATATAGCAGGCTCACTACAGAGTTACCTTAAGTCATATACCATTATTTGTGCTTTAAAATAACTTAATGTCATCAAGAGAAGAATATAAAGTACTAAACTGGCAAGGAAGACACCTAGGTCATCAAGAATCCAAACACTCATATAACATTTCACTTGAGTTAAAATTGTTACACAAACATGCATGATTGTATGCCAAAAGGACTTAGGATTAAGAAACTTGATTTTGCTTACGTTTTAGCAGCCTGCCTGCCCTTCCCAATTGCAGCACCAAAATATCTCTACAAAGATAGCAACAAACAAGTATTGAAAAGAACGCATCATACACTACATCATTAAAAATATTTTTTGGTTCTTTCACTCCAAAAATAGATTGTTTTCTAAATTGCATGAAATCCAGTAAAATCAAATAGTTTTGAAATTGCTTGTATCTATGATCCAACCTCTTTTCTCGAAAAATCATGACACTGTCCCTCTCTCATGCATCATATTTTATATATAAAACCCTACTTTTACCTGCTTACTATGTGAGAATAATAGATTGCAAGGAGTAAGTTTCAGGTTCCATATCACACAAATACTATACAACTGGAAGTTTGGCATTATAACCATCTACCAAGGGAATGGTAACTCACATAGGAAACACCAGAAGGTTCAACCATATATAACTGTGGGCCATCACGGTCATAACCTCCAAGAATCACCCCGGATCCAAAAGGTCTGCAGCACAAATACCACTCTTAGGATGTAACAACAATAAAGATTTATAAGGAGGTGTTATTTTAAATTTGAAGGTGATACACATTGCTCTACAAACCTGAGCCACCAATAAAGTGTGCATAGATGCACATAACTAGCGACTCGCTCAGCAAGTTCTTTAACTGGAATTGGTTCACCATAAACACTGCAAAATCAGCAAAGCTAGTGTCAGCAAAAAAATGTTCTAAAAACAGATAAAACAAGAAATATTCTGATGTCTCGCTATCAGTAGGCAGCGTTTCAAGGTAATAATCTTCACATGTTAAAAGGACAGAACACCAAGCATCAACATCAGATTGACAGAATAAACAAAAGGCTCACTAGTTTCTCCAAGCAATGCATGAATGAACAAGTACTCTTCAACACAGGCATCCGAACCTAAAAATCATGGTCTTGGCTCAACCAGACTTAAGAAGATCAGTCCAACAAGGCAGCTCGGCTTCAAACTTCTCATGATATGTTTTAGGAAATCAATAGTGTAGTCACTGCTAGATTCCCCTTAAGGGGACTTTTGTTATCACATGGTTTTTCGTTAACTAAGAAAATCTCCTCTCTCCGTCTCTCCCCCTCTATGATTTTCAACCATATATGGGCCATGGAAAACCTCACCATTTTATGTCCAGCTCGCCTTCTGTCTTAACTTATACCAGCCACTTCGTTGTTTTGTTAATGATACATCCCAGACACTATATATATATGTATACACCAAAGACCATTCTTTAGACGATGCTTTGCAACATCTAAAGCACACGCATAAGTTGTCTTTTACTGCAATCATAAACCAAATAAACCATAAACTGTCATTCTACATATTGGTCAACTTTAAGAAGGCAGTTGTCAGCAGTTTCTGGCAAAGGAATAAGAAGAACAAACACTACTTCACATTGTTTAAAATAAGTTAGATTAGGCATGTGTATATAGATGTTACGGTTGGCTATGCTGTAAAAATCGCGATATATCGGCGATATATCGGATATCGGCCGTAGAAAAAATATCGTTTCATAAATATCGCCCAAAATATCGTTCCCGATAATATCGGCGATATTGTCCGATTTTTTCCCGATATTTAGCAATATTTTGAGGTAAATATCGACCGATATATCGATATTTTTTAGGGTTCAATTTTTTGGGCTTCTCTTATTTTATAGGCTTAGATTTTTTGGGCTTCTCTTATTTTATGGGCTTAGATTTTTTGGATAAGTTAGGTCTCAAAAATCTGGCTAACATTTCCTTCACGCCAACGGTCTGCTTCCATTCCCTTTCTTTTCATCTTTACGACTCGACTTCACAGTTCACACTTAATTTTGAAACTATATTTCTAAACTCTAATTAATGCATATTATATATATAATTCTAAGAAATATTATGTTAACCGCTATTTTCGATATATCACCGATATATCACCGATATAACCGATATATCGAATATCGGTCCTGACCGATATTTCGTATTCTGACCGATATAACAGCATAGACGGTTGGCTATCCTGGTGAAATTTCACAATTTCTTCAATCCAAATTAGAAGTGTGCATTTGGATTTATGAATATCAAGATTGTAAAAGAACCAGATTCTTTTTAGTAATTATCATTATCTATATCTATGATCAGAAAAATGAATTCTAAAAGTCCTTTTGTTTGTTTATATTTTTTGTCTATGAGATGGATATGAAAATAAATTCATAATCTGATGTGCAAATATCCAGATGAAGATAAAGAGTATGAAATGTGCATTTTAACATAGAAACTGGAAATTTTTCATGTTTGGTTTTAGGAAAGATTGTGGCCATTATTTGGAACAATAAACCCTTGAGTACTCTTGATAAGTAAGAAAAACACAAAATGACTACATGACTGCTTGCAGATGTTTCCATCAGTTATCCTTCGGTTGTTTTCTGCAATAGATGATCATCCCTAACGAGAAGCACAAAAACGTCTATTTATATAAATTCCCTATAATACACAAAACCAATAGACCTTTTTCGCACCTGTGCATCACAAGATAATTGGCTTTACATAACCAGACACCCTCAACCTGACTAGGAACGAAACTCAATGAGTAAAAGACCATCTTCAAATAAATGTCCGGACTTCCCAAATTGACACCTCGTTTTCAGCACCAAACAGGTTATAAGCCCAAATAATGCTCAAGAACATATGTGTATATACATATAGCTATATTGCTCATACCATCACTCAAATTCTAGTGAATATTAAATATCAAACTAGATATAGAATTTTCTAACTACAAAGAAAACAACATATATCTCGAAGCAAAAAAAAATTCAGATGGTAAAAACACCCCTCAAGTTACCAAGTAGCCTTAACCACAGTTTGAACAGCCAAAAGATAGTTCCATTCAATTTGATTAACATAAATAAGGACTCCCATATCAACAACCAATAGGTTACACCTGATATGCTTCCAGCTTCTAGCATTGGAGACTTATTGCATCTTATGTACCGGAGAATATTTTCAAAAAGGTGGTAATGAAAAAGAGGGAATAAAAGTAAAATGAAGTGGAATGTGAAGAAAACCTTTCATAGTTATGGGCTTCAGATTTGGCTCTTGCAACAATCTGTCTCCCATCTGCAGCTAATCCTGCTACACCCTGTATGGGGTAACATCAATAAAAAGACCTCCTGAAGCATGTATACAGAAAATGAAGGAACATGATAACTACAAAGAGACGGATAACTTCTCAATACTCTTATTTGTTGCTTACTGGGGGGATTTTAAAATCATAAATAAGATGGAGTTGACCATACTGACATTCAAACCTTCAAGTTGCATAATTAGTCATGAAAAACATAAGAGAGCCTACAAATATAGCAACAAACCAATATGATGAAAAACATATATCTACTTACCATTCCAGAATGACGATGCACGGAGTGGATTCTACGATTAGATCCAGGCAACATCATCTTTGACGCAATCAGCTTCTCTACTCCCTATAATTCACAATCATTCGCAATCAATTAGCAATAACAACAAAATCCAAAATTTCTAAGTTAATATTAAACACTAAAAAAGTTACAATAACAATGCCATCTTTGCATTTGATGCCGACAACGGTGCCGCTATTGTCGACGGCTTTAGCAGCGTACTCGATCTGAAAAACCCTACCGTCCGGCGAGAAGGTTGTAACCGACAGATCGTAACCTGTTCCTATGCTACTCATGTTCTTCTAGGGCGAAATTGGTACTGCTGATTTTGGTTTAATGGCTTCTGGTTCGAAGGGGGTATCGGAATAAGTGAAGAAAGGGCAAGTTTATAAGGAGACTGGTTGTCTTTCGTCTCAAGAAAGGAAAAGAGCATGAGGATACAAAGTAGACCCTCAACATATGGTTAATTACAATTTCAACCCCACCCCAACTTTTGTTGGTTTCGTACAAACTAAACCGCAAAATAAAATATGTAAAGAGGGGTGTTTGGGATTGCTTATAAAACAACTTATTGACTTACTCATGTGTGGCACCGGTAATAAGCATTTTTGAGTGTTTAGATAAACAGCTTATACCGGTACCAAACCGCTAATAAGAAGTTTTTGAAGAAGTTAAATCATTCTAACTTATAATAAGTAGATAAAGACTTTTCACTTTTGTAGAAAAGCATAAGTTGTTTCAAATAAGCAATCCCAAACACCCCCTAAACCGATCTACATCAGCTTGATCTTGGTTAAAAACGGTTGAACCCTAAACTGGATTGTGAGCCGATTTGTTCTCATTTGAAAAATAAAGAACTTGAAGGTCTATTGTTTCAAGTTTAAAAAAGACAAGACAGTTTGGTTCTCATTTTGAACCAAATCCCTACGAAACTGAATTGTGAACCACTTTCTGGAAAAATCTCTAACAGAGGGTTAAATCAAGCACAACCAGTTCCAATTCGGTTGGGTTCGGTCCCAATTTGATCTGGTTAGCTTAGATCGATTTTTGCCTACCCTTGATGTTAGTCTCATTGAAGTAGATGTCTGAATGGTTGGATTACAAAGAAAAATAATGATTTATTGGGTTAGTAAGGCATGTAATTGTTATTTATAGGAAGGATAACATAAGACTTCGAAAACATAATGTGAGTTTATGTGTTACATTAAAAAAAAACTAAAAGCCTCTTTGTTTCTTTTCTCGTTAAGAGTTCAAGGGACTGTTTTTTTTTAGTTTTACAGAGTTTAGTGGTATGAAGGGCTTATGCGCTCGGTCATATAAGAGTATTTTGTGGCTTAATAATCAAGCTATGAGTTGAATTGGCTTTATGAATTTAGCCCTAACCTCTTAGTTATATAGATTCAACGACTTATCCTTTGTTTTTTTTTCCAACCATGTGCATCTCACTTAGCCCTGTTGATGGACGCCTCCCATCCTCACCCTTTATTGCTATTGTGGCTCCCTCACCATTGATCGTTCTTCGATCAACTCCTGTCACCACCGATCGTCGTCGATCTGCCTTTCATCACCATTGCTCGTTGTCGCTTTCGAACCACTTCCATCTTTGACACCTCAATTCCTAGCTAGTGATTGTTGTTTTGTTGACTGGACAAGGTGATTCAAGATCATTGTAATGGTGAAACTTCTTTGCTTCTTTAACAAGTTGTTTTTTGTTTGTCTTTTTGACTACTTCCATCAAATTTAGAAGGTTTTGTCTTTCTCATGTAGAAATTTGAGGTTAGGAACCTGACTCTCTGTATGCAAGTTTTGAATTGTTGTTAAATTTGATGTTGTTATTCACATTTATTGATTTAAGTTTATTGAGAGCATGAACATTTGGGGTTGTTTGGTTTTTCAGATATTTCTGAATGAATGGAATTTGTCAAAGGAAATGGAATCTATCTGTTTGGTTCACATATATAACTTCAAAATTATGATGAAACAATGATAAATGACCAAAATACCCCTTTGTGACATCTTCCTTAATTTCTTGCTTAAATTATAAATAATCTATAATGATAAAAAGCAATGATAAAAAGCAATAATAATACTAATCGGTGGTGATGGCGAGAATGGTGGCGACGGTGGAAACAGTGGTGGCGGCGGCAGTGGCAGTGGCTATGGTATAGGTGGAAGTGAATGCAACGATGACGGTGTCAGAGGTGGTGGGCGGTGGGGGCGATGTTGGCAAAGAGGGTAGGGGTGGAAGAGTTGTTAGTGATGAGAGGGTGGCAAAGTGGGGGCGACGATAGCAAGTGGTGATAAATGACCAAAATACCCCTTTATGACATCTTCCTTAATTTCTTGCTTAAATTATAAATAATCTATAATGATAAAAAGCAATAATAATAATAATAATACTATTCGGTGGTGATGGCGAGAATGGTGGCGACGGTGGAAACAGTGGTGGTGGCGACGGTGGAAACAGTGGTGGTGGCGGCAGTGACTATGGTATAGGTGGAAGTGAATGCAACGATGACGGTGGCATAGGTGGTGGGCGGTGGGGGCGGCATTGGCAAAGGGGGTAGGGATGGACATGTTGCTAATGATGAGAGGGTGGCAAAGTGGGGGCGACGATAGCAAGTGGTGAGGGTAGGAATGGTAAACTAGTGGTGGCATTGGTTAAATTGCGTTTAAAGGTTCTTTTTTGGTCTTTTTGAAATCAAATTATGAAATCCATGACATTGGCTATGGGGTTGTTTGGTTGTTCTTCAATTAAGTCCGGTATAGATTAAACAAACTATGAATTAAACTGTTTATATAGATTTAGATAACTTGTTTATTGTTTATTTCTTGTGCTGAATAATTTGCTAGAATGATGTAAATGGTAATTTTACCCGTTTTCGTGTTTATACTAAATGATATCACAAATTGTGTTATATAATTGGATACCACGGTAGAGTCGAAAAGAAACCAAAAAAATTCAAGCAATAACGACGGTCGACTTAATCTAGCAAGAACCAACAACACAAACGAAAAAATTCAAAGCAAGTTGGGGCCGAATAGTGGCGAGTCCCCATAATAGAAGAATAACGACGAACATGATCGATTTTAGGAGGAGTTGGAAGAGGCGTTGATTACTACCCAAACATTGCATAATCTCCGAAAAAACCAACACGTAGTGTAACACCCTAAAATCTAGAAAATACACCAGTTTTAAATTTGAACACAACAATTAAATGATAAATTCCTTTCTAAATGTCAACACTTTATTACCTAAAATAACAATCTAAGATTCAACATCAACAATTTACAAACAGCCTTTCACAAGTCTACATTAGGGATATATGTTGCTAAAGCCTAGTAACAGTCGTTATCTCCCAGTATGTAAGACTTCCCCAAAAAAGCTAAATCATTCCCGTGCCTCTAACTAGTATTTAACTCTTCACAGTGTCGGTAGTATCATTCTCCAACAAGGACCTGATGCATATGCTGACAAGAAAAAGTGTTAAGTGTAACGCCTAGTGAGTTCAGCCAGATTTTATCTTTAATATAAACCGGTAAAACTAGATAAATGTTATTTAAATCACAATTTTCTAAATGAAATGTATTTAGTATAAAAGCAACATCTTCCCCAAACCCACAATTTTCGTGATGAAAACTCAGTGACCAAAACACCCGTTTTAAACATGAAACCAAGACTCAACACTCATACAAAACGTGAATAAGATCAATATTCAAATACTGAAATCATGGATAAAACTTTATCACCCAAAACACCAAAATTATGGGTAAGACTCTATATCCAAAAGCAACGAAGACATAATTAAATTCAATGCAAAACAACACCTTTTTGGTGAAGGGGAGACCCGTATCTATTGATTGTGGCAGCACACAAAAGCATGCCATGTATCGATGTTATCATATTTCACCTTAGTTTTTTCGACTTTAATACACATTATTCCCAAGTGTCACCTCAAGTCCACAATATCTTTAGTGCACAGTCCCTACATAGCGTCACCTCAAGGTCACGGTACTTTTAGTGCACAATCCCTACAGCACGTCACCTCAAGGATACCAAATCTTAATGTCTATTCATTTTAGTTGAGTGCCACCTCATGTTCTCATTTGACCTTTAATTTATACTTACTAGTATTCAAGATAGGAACCTCGAAACTTCCTACTTGACAACACAAAACAGTCAACCCTCATGCATAAGGGTTAAATCATCAAAATCACAAACTTGGCAAATTAGAGCATGGAGGATCAAACACACCCAACAACATGTATACTCCAAGTAATTATGAAATTATAAGCATTTAATGTTTACATTCACAAATGAATAGCCAAAAGTTGGGCCAATCCTAACGCAACTTTAACATGATTTACAATCAATTAAAGACTCCAACCCATTGGACTTACGTCTTAAAACATCAAGTTGCCCAAAGATATGCATATCTCCCATTCATGCAAATAAATGCGTAAAGGGCCCAAATAGTTCAAGTAAACAACCAATGGTTATAAAAACCCAATAATCTCTTGCTTATGGTTCCAAGTCGCCAACCATAACCACAAGGGTGGTGTCTGATTGGTTTGAGATTGACTCCAAATATCAAAAGTACCGAGAGGTCCCAAGTTCAAATCCAAGGAGGAATAAAAATCCCCTTGTGGTCACGGAAGTTCAAATGCGGTGATTTCGGGCTATCTGCAAAGCAGGTGGTTGCTCTATGATTAGTCGGCTCACAAAGCGGGTTGGATATCCAGGTTAATCAGAAAAAAAAAAGTCACCAACCATGAATTTTCATTCGAGGAATCCAAATACTCAACAAATATAATGTCATTTACGTATCAAAGTATGAAATGAGTCGAGAGACAATTGTGTGATATGATAAACTATCAAGAGACACTGTAATAAGATTTATATCCTCAAAATGAGCAACAACCCAGAATAAGCATTCCCCCAGATTTTAATAAAGCCAGATAAACACCATTATTTGCAATAAATCATCAAAAAATTACACTTTTATGATATGTTTATTAAAATATCTGAAACCCCCAAATATATGCATTTCTCGAGATTTCATAAAAAATAAACGTGTAAAAGAAGCAATTTAATCAATATATACTCGACAAACATTGATAAATTTCAAGTAGAACACTTTAATATTTCAAATTAGACATTTTTAGTATGTACATAGTTCACAGAACAACTTAAAGTCAGGTTAAATCTAGTTTCCAAACCCAATTTTTGGCTTCCAAAGATGAAGACTTGAATCCACAAGTAAAGCCTCTAAGCAACTCCTCAAGACAACAATATAAGCCCAACAAAGCATCACAACAGCCACAAACTTTAGATCCTTACAGAATACCTAAGAACTTACCTTATAAAGATCTTAAAATCATCCACCA